ACTGGATGCTGGGCTCAGGTGTTACCAGTGATGCTGAGTGTTAACAAGCCACGCCTCCTCTCTAACACCTGCAGAAAGGAGCTGTCACGCAGACAAGAGGAAAGTAGAGCGAATTGTAAAAAGTGATCTTCTTAAAGTAAAGCCAGCTCCAAATGTTTTGGCTTTGACTCTACTAAAGTAGCTTTGATTGAAAATTCAAAATAATCTTTCTTTATCTTATACAGAGCCTCAGTTCATCCTAACCCCCTAACCCTAACCCTTTTAGCTCCTCCCCCTTCGAGTCAAATTTCTTCTGATTGGGTACAACCCATTAAAAGTAAGAGGCCTGAAGAGCAGGCGGGTCCACTGTGCCTGAGATGACCATATATCAAACTTCAGCTGTACAGTTATAACATGCAAGTCTATGGGACGGACTCACAGCTGGAGTCTGCCTCCAGTGGCTGTTAAAGGAACTGCAGCTTGAATTTGGTTCATTTTTTCAGTCTTCAGGTTTCCTCTCAGATGCTAACAGGAAGTTTACCCACACTTTGACAAATAATTATGACAGAAGAATCTAAAGATTCAAAATGCTTTGTAGCGTTTTGTGATGTGTGTGGAGTTTTAGAGTCTGCTGTGGACATTTCAAAAAAATCCAGTTTTCGGTTCCTGACATTGACGTTTGTGTTGATGCTGTTACACTAGGTTTAGATTAAATTATGGAAAGTTCGTATGCTGATTATTTTTTTCATTCTTCATTCAAGATAGTGATCCTTACCTCACCTTTAGAAGATAACATTTTCTGCGAGGCAGATTTGTTCATTAACAGCTTTCTTTGTAATCCGGGTGCATTATGCTTCATTAAAAACATATTTGCTTTTGCACATGAACAGTATATAAATGTCATTTCTCAGAGAAAGGATGTCTGATACATATCATCCCCCCTGCTATTCACACAGAGACAGCAGCACGTTTAACTCAGTGGTGCTTCATTAAAATGACACTTCATCACATATTCATGAGGACTGATGTGAAGGACATCAGCAGCTCGATCTGCAGACTGTCGCACACACTTAGCAGAGTTCACCTATAGACTGTCTGCTCTGTGGTCTGTGTGTGTGTGTGTGTGTGTGTGTGTGTGTGTGTGTGTGTGTGTGTGGATGGAGTAGTAAATGTGAGATGTGTAATGAATAATGAATTTAGGGTGAATTTAGGTCATGCGGGCGAATAGGAGGGACAACATGGGAATAGCTCTTTCTTTCCTCATCTCCGTACACCTGTGTGTGTGTGTGTGTGTGTGTGTGTGTGTGTGTGTGTGTGTGTGTGTGTGTGTGTGTGTGTGTGTTTCGTGCAGACTAAAAGGGAAGTACCCTCTCCTCCCAGCATTTGCTTAATCTCTCCATCCACACGTCCCTGTTCTTTCCTCCAGATCGGAATCTATCAATGAATTAATTTCTCGCTCTGTCGCTCTCCATCCGTCCACCTGCATCGCCTCCCTTTGACTCTCCAATCCCCTCCCACCTCCCCACAGACTGCTCCACCTGCACCCGCCCCGTCTCCCCTCCTCCCCTCAGGCTTCCCTGTGGACGGGCGGGTCCACCTGCCTCTGCCTTTTGAAGCCCTTCAGGTTCTCTGGGATGGCTCAGGACCCTGAAGAAGCCGAGGGGGGCCGCAGAGAGGAAATTGGTACAGTATGTTTAATATTAACCGGCACAGAACGGAAACATGGCTGCCCACAGGGCATGAACTGCCTCTTTACTGCGGTCTGCGAGATTAACAGCAGCTATTAAAATGTCCTGTTTGGGCTTTCAGTCATTAAACATTTTCATTCTTGAGAGTGAGCACTCAGCTGGCAACCCAACACTCAGACTGGGGTCTGGTAATCTCTGTAACATATGTAAGATATGACTATAGGAAGAATATACAGAGACCAAAAGCTTTCTATTTAATTATTCCTGCGGTGTCCGCGTTGCTGCTGTAACAGTGTGAATTTGCCAACACTGCAACTAATAAACTTCTCTTAAATCAAAGAAAATGTCCATCCCAGTTTGTGAGAGCTCCACGTCAGAAGAAAACTTTAACACTTTTAGTTTTCTGTGGAAAAAACAGCAAATAATAAATTTTTTGGAGCTTAACTTTTGCTTTATCACCATAAAACCTGCAAAGTCCCCTCCTGCCTGATACATTCATGTCTGCAGCTGATATACAGTTGTGATCAAATGTGTGGTATGTTGTGTTTTCTTAAATCTAAGACTGCGCCGTGAACACGCAGGGCGCCGAAACTTGCAGCATTAATCAGATCTGAAACTCTTCCTCCTCGTCCTTCCTCTCTAAATCCTAAATGGACTTCCTGTGCTCTCACGGCTGATTTAATTCAAGTGGTCATAATGTGTCAAATTTCCAGGATAACAAAGAATCGGTGAGAGGCGAACAACACGGTGTGTTTAATGTCATTGTGCACCAGCAAAAGCAACTCAACGAGCTTCCTGTCAGCAGAGGTCAAGCAGCTCTAAGCTGCAGCCTCAATAAAGACTCAGAGTGTGTGAAGGAGGCGACCCTCCATCAGGCGCCTTTAGATTAAGACTTGATTCATTAACGAGCTCCGCCCCCTCCTTAAGTCAGTGCCAGCAGGAGCACCATGAATATTTAAATGAAGAAAGTCTCTGTGGATGATCATGGATTTCTGTTTTTTTAAAACCTCCATGCTGAGGACGAGGCTGCTGTTATTAAAGGAAGTGGAGCATGCTGGGATGTTTTCTTCACCCGTCATTTATTACGTCTGTTTCATTTTTCTGTCTGAGCTCGTTACATCATTAGACCCACCCCCACCCCCATCAGTGACGAAATGACAAACACACACACACACACACACACACGCACACACACACACACACACACACACGCACACACAGGCTCTCACACACCTTCTGTCCCGCTGTGCCATTTGGCTCATGTATTTTGAAAATACGCCCGGCAGGTAACAGCAGCAGCCCGACAGGCAGGAGCAGGTGTGTGTTTGTGTGTGTGTGTGTGTTTAAGTGACCGTGACGCAGGGCAGATGTGAGTGTGTGTGTGTAATCATGAGTGATAACAATGAAAAACTAGAAGAATAAGACTCTGACAGTCATAGGAACTGAACGGGGGTCCTCTGTGTCCTCTCTGTGTTTGTGGAGATGCTCAGAAAGACCTGGATCCTCACAAAGAGACAGTGTGTGTGTGTGTGTTTGTGTGTGTGCTGGGGACAGGTTGTGTAATTATGAGATGTTGGAGGGGGTCTACATTAGCCAGCTGTCACTCCTCGCCCCTCACCCCATGTGTGTGCTTTAAGAGAAGCCTCGGAGACGGGCCTTGGCGGAGGACTGCTGGTGGTTACACTCACAGATTGATAAGTTATGACACCTCCTGTAACCTCCTCTGCCCTCCCTGTCTGTTAGTATTCTCACTCCGGTGTGTCAGCGTGGAGTCGGTACAGTCGGAGCATCTTTAAGCTGCTGCAGCATCACACCAGGCATAAAGTCAGTGTATAAAAACTTGTATTTCCATAATTGTCCACTGAGGGAGTGAATGAGGGAGGAGAGTCATCCAGACCCAGACCCTGTTCATCTGCAATATGTCATCCATCAGTGCAATTAGACACTGACAGCAACACTGGCTCTATTCGATTCTTTGTATTCATCTTCCATGAGCGATGCGTCCTCTCAGCTCTCTGGTGAAAACGACATGAGTGACATGAACTCTTGGACAATCTATCTTACTGTCTTCTTATGACTCCAGGTTGTTATTTACAGTTATTTCTTCTAACTTCCTGTCTTTTAAAAAATTACATAAAGTTGTGAAAAGAATCTAAAGAGGCAACTGACTTTATATTCAACGCATCTCTGTACTGTGTCAAAGGGATATTAAGTCAAGTTAGGTGCAGGCTGTACTTCAGTGTTGAATTGAATCAGGAAAGTTATAAGAACCTATTTGCTTTAATAATCCTGGTTAAAGGCAGAGCCTCCTGAACAGATATAAAAACATACCCAAAGATAAAATGCTGCCCCCGGTGGTGAAAGTCTCACGACGCGTTACAAAATGCTTGTTTGGGATTTGTCCTTGTTAGCAGACAAACAAACTGATTCATGCAAATGCAAAAACTGCACAATGAGCTTTTTTGGCAACATGATACCAAATAAATCAGGAGCATTTACAGTAATTTTCCTGGAGGCATGAATGGTTTGGAGTGGAGGAAACACTGTTTCAGGCTTTAGCATGAAAACCTGTCACAGATGTTTGGCTCATTCGAGGGATCTCCCTCAGTTTCTTTCATTTTTTGCTTGATCAAAGTATTCCCATACATGGAGCGGCAGCCTGATTTCATGGCTTTGAAGTAGCACAATCGGCTATTTTTAGACTGGCTGTTAGTTTCAGCTGATCAGCTCGCAGAGGAGGAGCGCGTAATCCCCAACTTCAAGTACAAACAAGAATGTGGCCAAACTCGGAGCGCTGAGGGTTCTTCTTTTGGCCTTCATGTCGAGGCAGCAAAGAAAGCCTGATCCATCTGTGTCTGCTTTCACCCCCCGACACTCCTGCTGTCACGGGTCAGTGTTCAGTCACCAGGCAGGGACAAAGGAGGAGATGTTGAGATGAATGGAAATGCGGCGAGTGTGGCAGAAACACACACACACACTCAATCTCTCTTTGTAATGTCATTAGTGGAGAAGCTGCTTCCTGCTGCTTTGATCTGATCTTGACTTTATCGAGGTGACCCGGCCGACTGTCTGTTCTTTATCTCAGATTTTTGTGGATTCTGTACTAAATTCAAATTTATTCTCAACGTCACAGATGTGCCGTGGATTCATCGTGATGTGATTTTGGGTCAAACTTTCCCCCCTCTGGAATACATTAATATTTGTCTTCTGTTGATTTATGTTTGGTCAAATTAACCATGTCTTTGCTTCTTTCCCCTCCCCTCCTCCCCTCCTCTTCTCCTCCCCTCTTATCCCTCTTTGTTCTCGGGGTCACCCCCCCCCCTCCCCCCACAGCCAGCTCCTGAAGAAGCGTTTGTGGAGCTGACGGAGCGAGGAGCGAGCCTCACTCACAGTTGGGCTGTAAAGGAAACAGACACACCCACCAACTTACTGCTGTTTACTCCTCTCAGCTCTCCCTCAGCTCCGGGCGGTCCCTGGAGTGTGTGTCTGCCTTGGTGTGCGTGGGTGTGTGTGTGTGTTTCTTTATGTGTTGATGAGTGTGTGGGTGTCTTGCATCACTTTTGATGGGACATTGAAAGATGTGTGTGTCACAGAGTCGGTGGATGGGCTGTAGGGGGATGTGCTCCCCCGCCCTCCCGCTGCTCCTCCTCCTCCTGCTCCCTCTGTCCTTCCTCTCCTCCACGCCTCCGTTTGCTCAGGGAGCCATCCACATCCCCGAAAGCTGTGAGTACTCCCTCCTCCACTGCACACATCACACACTGGAAAGTGTTTGTTTTTTCATTTCCAGTAAATATTTCCAAACCATTTCCTCAGAATTAACAGGGCTGGGAAGTATGAGGGAGAATTTCCACATTTGGCTTCTCTAATCATATCATTACTCTTTGAAATTAAGTATCAGGTCAGTAGATTTCTGCTGTAGCCACCAACTTGAATTATTTCATAGGCATCAGGGGAGGAGTCTAAACTACCCACGAGCCTCTGATGCAGCGCTGTGGAGAAGAACCAGAACTATGGATTTCTTTTTTCTTTAGCCTTTGTCAAGACGTAACGTTCAACATTTGATGCGTTTGGTTGAAATGTTCGCAGAGACGTCAGGTCAGTTCAGGTTATTTATGTTGCTCCAACTCACAAGAACAGTTACTTCAAGACACTTTAGACTCCAAAGACCCCACAGTATGCTGTGAAAATCAACCCCTCCCCATACGATCAGCACATTGTGACAGTGGGAAGGAAAAACTCCTTTTTAACAGGAAAAAACTTCCTGTAGAACCATCAGTTGTGGAGTGAGGGGTGACAGAAGAAGAGAGAAAAAGAAAGCACCGGGAGACATCGTCTGTGAGATCATAGAGCTCTGCAGTAGCCACAAACTCTCCTTCAGGGTTGTCTCCTCGAGCACCTCTGGACCAAAGCTCACTCTGACCACTGCGACGTCACCACAGACCTCAGACTCCAACAAAAAGCTGTTCGCCTTTCAGGCATCTGAGGAAAAACCTTTGATGGAACTGACCAGAAACGTGACGTGTGCTGATAGGGGGCCATTTAAAGGTGGATCCTTTGGTTCCTGCACAGTAAAGTTCAGTAAAGCTCTGGTGCTGTGTTTATTCCTGTCAGATATGGAACTTTCGAACACATCTAAGCACAAATATAAATCCAAACAATCAGGTTAGAATAACCTCTGGTCCTGGAGTTAAAGGTCAAAGGTCAGCAGGCTTATCACACTCCTAGAGGAGAGGAGGGGAAGCGGGAGTCAGAGGAGGAATCAGGTTCAGTCTGACCTTCGGTAAACGACCTTCTTTCTGGGTGTGGCAGGAGAGGAAGAAGAGAAGGATAGGAGGAGGAGGAGGAGGAGAACGATGGGGGAGGTGGAGAGAGGGGAGGGAGGGGAAGGAAAAGGAGACACGGGGAAGAAAAAATAAGGAGATGGATGTAAAGTGACCTGAGACGCCAGTGTGTCTGAGTCAGAAAACCAAGAAGGAAGATAAAATCCCTGAGATGTTGTCACTGTTAATAAAAATCCTGTTAATGAGCAGATCTTGTCCCGCTCGGGGAACAGCATGAAGAATGTGCCAGCATGTGTTTGTTCAGTCTGTAAACCTTTCCTTTCTGCTCTCCTTTCACTGCTTCCTGTGGACACAGATACAAAAGACAACAGTAAGTGATTTTCTTTGTTGCTGTAATGAAGAAATGTGTGTCGTGTCTGCAGCTCTGACGTGAGCGGTGCTTCATTGGTAGAAACCTGCTCCGGACATCTGCTGACTGTGTCTCGCACCTGCTCACCTGCACTTTTCCTGTTAGATTTGTCAAAGCAGAACATCTCTCCCCTGCATCACTCCACACAGACACTAAGAAAGAGATCATGTATATTAGCTCATTTAAAACTGATTTAATGTTATTTTGAGTATTTTTCTGAAACAGATGTACGGATATTTGGAGGGCTGAAACTGCCACATTAGTCATTTCATTGTATTTCTGTATAGTTCTTGTGCAAAAGTCTTGGACCACTTTTCATTTCTCTGTATTTCTTGGATTCGGTGCAGCAATTTAATGAAATGTGCAAACATACATAGAAATGAACATGACAGAGTTTGTACAGCTCCAACGAACCTGAGTAAATGTTTGTCATGCGCAGCTTTATTTTTCAGCACAAACTGAACTCTGTCCTTTCAGTATGTTCAGGAACAGCTCTCCACACATTTGAAAACAGCACAGGTCGACCAAAGTGTTGTACATGGTAAAAAAAAAAAAAAGCAGAGCAAACACACACAAAGAACAAAACAAAAACTCAGTCATAACTTAAAGCTGGTGAGTAACAGTGTGTTTTCAGACGGGTTTGAAGATGTTGAGTGTTGGAGGGATCCTAATTTGAAGAAAGTTGCCCAAAGTTTGGGCGCAGCAATATCACAAAGGTCTCCTCTGTGTTGTAGCCTGCTTCTAGGGACGATCAGAAGCTACTTATCAGCTGACCTGAGACTCATTTATCTACAAAATATTTTATTTAAATATACAATGTCACAAAATATCAGAGTATTCCATTAAAAACTGTAGTTTTTAATTTTTGCTGTTATTATAGGATGTTTATCTTTTGATGGTTTTAGAGGACCTGCCAGAACTAAGAATGATGAATGAGCTTCAGTCAATCCCTCTAGATGTGTCTCGATCTGTACGCCCTACTTTACCTGCCTGTACTCTGCCAATTTCATTACTGTGTGTGTGTGTGTGTGTGTGTGTGTGTGTGTGTGTGTGTGTGTGTGTGTGTGTGTGTGTGTGTGTGTGTGTGTGTGTTCAGTATTTCAGCCTCCAGTGCTGACAGAGATGCCAAAATCACACACAGTGTTTTCTCTAGAAGACTTCAATCTGGCCTGTGAGGCCACCGGGAACCCGGCACCCATGTACGTACACCTGTGTGTGTGTGTGTGTGTGTGTGTGTGTGTGTGTGTGTGTGTGTGTGTGTGTGTGTGTGTGTGTGTGTGTGTGTGTGTGTGCTGACATGGCAATAAATGTCCTCATAATAAAACAAGAACAAAATTGTCTCTCAGCTGTTTCCCTCCCCGAGCTCGTCCCTCTCTCCACTCCCTGCTTCTCTCGGGGAGACAGACTGTTAAAAGTAATAATAACAGCTGTAAATGTTACACTTCCTCATATTTATGTATTTCTGTATTTCAGGCCGTCAATCAAAAGGCTGAAAATTTTACATGAACCTGTTTCCGGCTTTGATCCAAAGATAAAGACTCGCTGCTTTATAATGAAAATGTAGATCCTTCAAAATAGCTCACAAATAAATAGAAGCTGTTTTCTTCATTGTGTGATTTAAGGTTTGTTTCTGTGACTTTGTAAACTGCTGATGTGCTGACAGCCGTTCTCCCCTCTGTGCTCATAGATTCCGTTGGCTGAAAGATGGCGAGTTGTTCGGATCTGAGACTGAAGGATCCGGAACGCTGAGAGGCGACAATTCTTCCCTGGATATGTTAGAGGGTGAATACCGCTGCTACGCCTCCAACAGTCTGGGCACCGCCATGACACAAACCGTCAAAGTCAACGTAGAGCGTGAGTCACAAACTTACTGTAAGCACACAAAGGCAGTCGGTGTGCTCTGAGGTTCACACCTGCTGATGCACAGATGTCACACGATCATATAAAATCACACACACACATCAGTGAGTCAGTGAGGTTGATCGGGGCCACCTGTTCTGCTCGCTCATCTCAAGTTGCCACGGCAACCATTTCCCGGAGACAGCACTGTGACGTCACTCAGTAGGGAGGATGTACCGTGGGTGTGGAGGATGAAGCCGATGGCTGCGGTCAGCGTGCACACAGACTCACTAAAATCTCTCCAGATGAAATATTATACTGTATGGGCTCTTGCTGCCCCGGATCTCACCTCCGCCGTGGTTTTGATTGCAGTTCAGTTCTTTCAGATTTTATTTATTTATTTCCTCTGCAAATTACTTCCATAATTTGTTGTTTTTCTTCCTCACAGTTTTTTTTTCTGTGATTGAATATTGCTCTGTGACTTCCAGAGAACCATTGTTCTCAATTAATTTGGGAAACTTCAATGTTTACAATCAGCTCAGCCAGCGTTTCTAAAGGTTTTGATGACTAAATGTCAGTTTCGACAGGCAGCATGTGGTCGAGGTATCTTGATTTACCCAAAGCACCATCAGAAAGCTGCTTTTAGCAAATAAAACTTTTAAACAATATTTCAGAGCAAAATAAATAACTGGCTGATGAAACCTGAGAAGCTGTGCAGGAAATATGAGATTCAAGTTAATCATGTGACCCAAAAAGACAGATGATGTCACTCTGTGTCCACATGATTGTAAATATGCAGCTATTGTTTCAGCTCCTCTTAATTACAAATGAACCCTGGCATTGTTTTTATATAATTTAGGCATTTAAAGTCTATTATCCTGGAGATTTCCTCCAGTCCACTGTGTTACAACAGCTGTGGAGTGTATCTTTACAATTATCTTCTTCCTTCTTTGTATTGTTTTATTTTGCGTCACTATTTTCATTGTTTCTTCATTGTTACCTGCACAAGTATTAACTTGTATTCTGCTGCTTTGTGTTTCAGCTCAGCCAATTCTCATGAAACAACAAGTGGAGCGTGAGCGAGGACTCGTGGGACAGAGTATGGTCCTGTCCTGCAACCCTCCAAAAAGCTCGCCTCCTCCCAGCATCCACTGGATGAACATAAGTGAGTGTGCCGATCTGTTTCCTGTCCCGTTCATCAGCTGCCTGCCTCTGTGACACACAGACTCTTTATGTCCACTCTCCTCCATTTTTCTATGACTGACCTTCTCTGCCTTTTCAGTTATCAGCTTATTGAGGCTGCGGTGCAATAAAGCGAGGCGCTTATTGTGCATTTGAAGAGCAAACTAACCAATTTCATTTTACACTGACGTGAAAAACATTTTCACCTTCCACTGCAGTTTCCATGCTTTGAACTTTATTTCCCACCTACATTAAACTGTCCCCGTCCCGGCTCAGATTTGATGCACATTACTCGGAGTGAGAGAGTGACGATCGGCCTGGACGGGAAGCTGTACTTCGCGAACCTCGTGAAGAGTGACAGCAAAGAGGACTACATCTGCCACGCCCAGTACAGAGAGGCCAGGACTATTCTACCTGCCACTGCTGTCTCCCTCTCTGTCAAGCAGAGTGAGCGCACACACAACGCACAATGCACACAAAGTGTTAAATATAGAGATAAGAAAAATCAGAAAAGTGAGTCAGAGCATCACGCTGTCCTGTGTGTGTGCGGACCGTGATCACGCTCTCTGTGTGAGGTAACATCAGCCAGAACAGTTAATTATGTCATGCAGACTACACTGTAACACAACTGAGACACCAGTGTTTGTTCCACTATGATGACGCGTATATGCTCAGTAACTAGATCACAGTCGACTAATCAGCCCTGCCCTGTAGGCTATTTGTCTTCATTTCATCATTTATTGTTGCAATAATCAGCATGACCGTGATGATCGAGCTTCACAGTTTCCGTGTCCTGATTTCTGTCTTCACATCGTCCAGGTAACAGCGTGGCTCATGGAGGAAAACCCGAGTTCTTCCACCACAGGAACCACTCCCAAATATCAGCCCTCAAGGGGAACAGCGTCACCCTGGAATGTTTACCCAGAGGCCTGTAAGCATCTCAGTGTGTGTGTGTGTGTGTGTGTGTGTGTGTGTACTTCCACCTTCAGTTTGTTTACACGTGAAACTCATGTCATGTTTATGATCCTTGTGGCATAAGAATGACTGACCCACCTGGTTCGCTCTCACAACACTCAGCTGTGGCTTTTCTGCTACAGCCACACACAACAACAACAACAATAACAACCACACTCAGGACCCAGTTACTGTTTCATATTTTCTCTGCTCGTAAGAAATTGGCCTGCTGACCTCATGCAGCCTTGCTCCTTTTTCTTCATATGAAATCATTTGATCTGTCCAGTTTCATTCTAATGATCCTGCTTCCTGTCTATGGCAACAAATGGACTCTCACTATAATTTTGAGTTAATGATGAAAAAGGATGTTACATCATTACCAAGATCATCTGCATGCACTCAGCTCTAATTTCCTCCTGTGATCGATCTTCTGTTCGTCGCCTACCTCACTTCCATGATCGGCTCTCTCTCACAGTCACATCCTTCTGTTCTTCCATGTCCGTCTCTGCAGACCCACACCTCAGGTGGAATGGAAGAAAAAGGATGGTGTCCTGGCAGACACAACCGGCCAAGTTATTAACTTTGACCGCTGGCTCCACTTCGACAACATCACCCTGGATGACGACGGCGAGTACGAATGCAAAGCCTCCAACACCCACAGCTCCATCACGCGCTCCTTCACGGTCACTGTGGAAGGTAGGCCGCTGAGCCGAGCGCACAGACGATCACGGTGCTCTGCTGACCGTGAGGACGTGATCTCTGTGTTAGTTTGAACTCTAACGTGTTTGTGCTCCTCTGTCTGAGATGATTGTGAGTCTTTACTGAAGAACATGTGTACATGTTCACAACTTCAAAGGAGCACTTCACTAATTAACATCAACAGGTCCTGAAGCCTGTTCAGAGTTACAGCCAAATGTTCAACAGACAAGTTCTGACTCTGAGATTTATATTTTAGGGTTTAAATGCTGCTTTTCTTTGTTTTCCAGCGGCTCCTTACTGGATGAAGGAGCCTCAGAACCTGATGTACACTCCCGGGGAAACAGTCCGACTGGACTGTCAGGCGGACGGCATCCCGAGGCCCAGCATCACCTGGAGGATCAACGGTCAGCTGTTAACAGGTACAGCAAGATTCTGACGGACCTGTTTGTGATTCTTTGGGGAGAAACTGTAGCACCTGATGTGTGTGATTGATACTCAGGAGTTATCGATTTCTTATATAGTGCACATGATAAACTACCTTTAAACAGCTGGGGCAAACAGACTTGTATTACTCTGATGATCAGCACTTTGCAGAGTGAACCGTTCCTTCGGGTAACTCGATGTTGATTCTATTAAAGCTTGATGGCCACAGACATAGATTTGAAGGCAGGGCAGAGCGAGCATTTCCTGGCTCCAGGCTGTCGACTTTCTGTGGACAGAGAGCCTCTTAAGCTTAACGTGAATTAGATGGACTCACCAAAAGAGAGAGAGAGAAGTGAGAAGATAGAAAAATAAACAGAGAGTAAGGAAACAAATCATCAGAACAAAGAAGAGGGAGAAATGACTGAATCAAAAGACCGGTGCAGAAAGAACGGACGATGGAAATGAGACAAAGAAAGAGTCCACATTTCTGTATCAAACCTTCTTCTTGATGTTTCGCACATTCAGAGTTTACATGTTACTTATGAAGATGGGCTTTTAGGAAAATTAAAATGAGGAAAGAAACTAAAAGCCACATAAAAGGAAGAAAAGGAAGGAATATGAGCACACTGGGAGGGAAACTGAGAAAGCAGCAGAGGGAGGGAGGTGACAGGCGGTGACAGCTGCTGCTCCTCTCAGTGGGCCTCAGCTTCTCTGTTAAACAGTTCTTTAGATTCAGCCTGTTTCTGTTTGACAAACTCTACATTGCCTCCTCGCCTCTTCCCCCCCCCTCCCTGTAGAAGTGGATGAAGAACCTCGGCGCACGGTGACCGCAGGAACGCTCATAATGAAAGACGTGAACATTGGCGACACGGCCGTGTACCAGTGTGAAGCCAAAAACGACCACGGCTCCATCCTCCTCAACACCTACCTCTACGTCGTCGGTATGTTTCCCGCCGGGTTCACGTCCTTCTTTGTTCTGTCTCACCTGTGATTGGTTAATGACGGCGTCTCTCCCTCTGTCTCAGAGCTCCCCCCTCAGATCCTGTCCCCTGATGGGTTCATCTACAACGCCACCAAGGGCCGAGACGTCGCACTGCACTGTGAGTCTTTTGGCTCGCCACGACCCCGCGTCACATGGTGAGTGTCACACAGTGTGGATTCTCATCAGTGTAACTAAAATACCCTCTCTGTATTCTCTCTGCTGAACCTTTTCACCTCAGTGAAAATCATTTCTCTAACTACACTGTGCAGAATATAACCTTCACCACTAGGGGGCAGTATTTTATCAGAAAGTTTGATTAACCAGCCCTGTGGAGAGAACACTAAACCAGGGCTGGGTTTTGATGATCGATTTATCGATTAAAATCGATTCTGGCTTTGATAACGTAAAATCTAGTCATTAAAATCCTGAATCGATTTTTAAATATAAATTTATTTTGCCAGAAACGCCAGAATCTCAAGTTGAACCTCACAAATTTTCAACAACTACCAAACAGCTAAAACAGTAAATGAGAGCAGGAACACGGGTCCTGCACAAAGACGTGAACACAAAACGCCGACGCATCAGAATCAGTGAGATGTGACTTTCTCACGCGCTGGCACGGACACGGTCACGGTCACGCCGTCGGGGCTGAAAGCCGACAGCTCGCTGATTCTGAAGCTGCGGGTTTTTATCTCTCCAAACAATATTGACTCAACCAGCAGCAAAAGAAGATCCAAACTGCGCTTCACATAAACATCGGCATGAATTGCTGTTTTGCTTCCACCAGGATAAAATCACACTTCATGCAGAGCTCTCTCTCTCTCTCTCTCTCTCTCTCTCTGCACTTTCCCATCTAAAAATCTGTTTTCTGCATTATTCGCTTGCTTGTTACGCACCAGTCTACCGTTGTTTACAGCCTGTCGGCCGCTGTTTTTTCCTTTTACTTACTTCGGAAAAGAAAGCCTCATTTCTGCCGTTCAACACTGAACAAATGTAAACTTTAAAATTATGCAAAATTGCAAAACTCTCAGCTGTGTCTGTAATCAAACCTCCGTAACTTTGCTCTGCTTCACCTCAGCAGCATCAGGTCATGTTCATGTGTTGATTAATGGTTTTCTTTCGTTTTTGATCTACTGCAGAATATTTGTATAAATCCCAGACCAGGAAAACCACCTCCATGTTTTTCTGTTTTATCCTCAGTTACTTTGACACAAAGGCGTCTGCTGTGATGCTCACACCTTTGACAAAGTCTCGCAAGTGTCAGCTTTCTTTTTATAGACAAAAAATATGGAAATGTGCTGATGCGTGATCAGAATTATAATATTTCTGACTGTCTGAGGCAAAATTTCCCCGATTCGAATCGAATCAATCGAATTGAATCGAGGATCAAATCGATTTGGGACCTTGAGAATCGAAATGGAATCGATTCTAGAAATCAGCGAAGATACCCAGCCCTACACTAAACCAGAAGAAAATCCAGCATATAGATGGCATCCTAAAGTTAAGGGCTTGATAGAGGAGGGTCCACACTAGTTTGAGAGGTGGCCCTTTCAAACTAGTGTGGTCAGAGGTGTGGTTAGTCTTAGAGGTGATTATAAAAAGTTGGGCTGTTTTCTGCCGTCAGTTTTTTTCAATGTGCCAAGAGAGATGATTTTTCAATGTCATTTAGTCATTTACCAACAGAGCAGGCAAAGTTTGCTAACTGTAAGCAGTAAAGCTTGTAAATATGGATGTGCGCATGCATTAACTACCTTAAGTAACTAACAGGTGCAGGACTGTAGAGTCTGTGTGTGTGGACGGGTATTAACATCTTCATGGGGACCAAAAATTGGTAGTTTACTATACTTGTGGGGACAAACAGCCCGAGTATGAAGGCATTTTTGAGACTCAAAGTGTGGTTTTAGTGTCAGGGTTACAGTTAGGTTATGGTCAGGGTCAGGGTTAGGTGTTCATTTTTGATGGTTAGGGTAAGCAGCCAGGGAAAGCATTATGTCAATGAGATGTCCCCACAAGGATATAAATACACACGTGTGTGTGTGTGTGTGTGTGTGTGTGTGTGTGTGTGTGTGTGTGTGTGTGTGTCAAAGTGCATGCAGCTGGATGATTTGTGCAGGTAACTAAAAACAGGCAGATCAGTGTGTACGCTGTCCGTGGTCCTGAAATTCTAGTGTTTTAATTGCAGTGAAATAAGGTTTTATTACATAAAAAAGGTGATATTAAACTTTATTAAAGCCTATTTATTGACAAGATCAAAAACAAAGAGCGCATTCAAACTATCAAACTAATTCAAACCGTTTGAGTTGGAGCTGGTGGTTGCTGACGTGAATTAAGTGTCTAAGAATTACAGCAGTTTCTATACACATCCCACATTTGTACAGCAGCGTTATCAGTCTAGTTGTGCTAACAGTGAAAAGACACTGGTCATGAATGAGCCATTGTTGGTTTGGCATCCCCTGCTCTTTACTTTGAATGAAACAGCGCCCTCGTGTGGTTTTGTTTGAAATGCACCATGTCTCTGATGACCTGACCACACCCATTTCCCAAGTATGAAGAACTGAAAGCAGTCTGCATTTATTTTTATCTCCAGCTGTCGTGTGATTAGATTTTCAGTTCCTGACATCTGGAAACAAATGTACACTTACAGCTATCAGGTTTTTTTAGTTATTTAACCACCAAAACTTAGAAATACTGTTCTGGGTATCCTTGAAAAAAAAGACATCGAATTTCATTAGAAAACAAATGTGATGTGTTGGCTTCCACTGTGCAGTTCACATTATGTTCTTCCCCTCTCTCATCATTTATTGATCCCTTTGTGTTTGTTATCAAGTCACTAATCAGTGAGGATACACACTTCCATCGATCCAGGTCCTGGGACCTGATTCTGCAATCGTATGTTAGAATAAGTCTGCAATGATTCTGGAGACACAGAGCTGATTAGCATATGTAACGATCAATATCTTTGCTCTGTGTGTGTGTGTGTGTGTGTGTGTGTGTGTGTGTGTGCATGTGTTTGTGTGCGTGCGTGTGTGTGTGTTGCCTGCAGGGACCGGGAGGACACGGGTGCTCTGCTGTCGGACCCTCTGCTGTATCCTCGTGTCTCCATTCTGACCAACGGGACCCTCAAGCTGTCCGACGTCAGCCACAACGACAGCGGCGAGTACATCTGCTCCGTACAAAACACCAACATCTCCATCACGGCCAAGCTGGACGTCTTCCGTGAGTCTCACACATAAAAGTGAAGCCTCATATAAATCTTGCTCCTCTCTGATGGAGCCTGGAATTATTTGCGCTTTATAAAAATCTCTGCTTGCACCTGTGACTGTGTGACTGTGATATGAACCATTTATGATGCAATCATTTTGTTGTAAGCGTTTACAGAAAAAGTCACTAACAAATGTCACTAATTCCTCGGTCCTGTGTTTCCTGCGTTCCTTCAGGTCCAAGTGAGATACTGACGCCCCCCCAGGATGTTCGCGTTGTCCAGGGAAAGAGCGCTTTCCTGGACTGTGACGTCGACACCGATCCTCGGCTGAGGGATTACCAGGTTGTCTGGAAGAAAGCGAATCGGAAACTAGAAGAGACATCAGTAGATGACAAGTAAAAACACACACACACACACATACTGTGCAAAACAAAGCACATTTCTATTGCAGCTTCTGTCCTAAAAGGAAAAGAAAGAAAAAAACCTAAAGATCTTTTATTTGGGAGGAAACAGAAGAAATCTCTGGAAATTCAAATTCAAATTCAAATTCAAATTTTATTTGTCACACACACACAACCATACACAGTATGACATGGGGGTGAAATGCTTGTAGCTGTACAATGCCCGACCATTAATGACAGAAGAAAAGTTTTACAATATTTACAATTTACTACAAAAATTTACTAATTAACTTAGGAATTTACAGTAAAGAATGTGCAAATAGCAGAAGAGATTATAAAGATAAGGATTATAAATTATAGGAATTATAGGATTATAGGAAATGTGTGGTGGTGCGTGTGGTGACGTGTGTGAGAGTCCAGTCTTATAGTGACGTGTTTGGGAGAGTCCAGTCCTACACCTGGTTCAGGGCCCGAATAGCCTGGGGGAAGAAGCTCCTCCTCATTCTCTCTGTTTTGGCCTTAAGGGAGCGGAAGCGCTTCCCAGACCTCAACAGTGAGAAGAGTCCATTGTTGGGATGGGAGAGGTCCATCATAATCTTCCTAGCTTTGGACTTGCACCGCTTGGTGTAGATGGACAGCAGGAAGAACAGAGGACTGGTTTCTGAGCTGGAAATTTCTCTTTCTGAGAGCAGAAATCTAAAGACCTTCATGGTGAATGTACTTATCTATGTGATCCCCAAAATGACACACTCACAAATTTCCTAATAATTAAATAATCCCAGTGACTCATTTTCATCTTAATTTGGGAAAAATAAATAACTGAGTCATATCATCAGCTGCTTCTTCAGAGGATTGAGCTTCAGAACAGGTCAGACATGTCTGATCACAAGACTCGATCCTTTATGGGAAGCACCTGAATGGACTGCATGATGGATGCTGGACCCTGAAATGAGTTGCCAAACATACTTGTACAGCTATTAATACCACAAAAGTTTATGTCTGTGAATGAAAAACAACCAAAATGTAGTAAAAGTGCATACTTTGAAATGCAGCATCGTCGATAAACGTTCATGACTCTCAACACAGAGAGAGAACATTACAGCAGCTCTCAGGTGTCACCATCCAAGAAACATCTGAGTTCCTCAGCTCTGAACTGGAGGTCTGCATGTCTCTGTCAGGGTGCAGAAATAAATGACTTGTACTGTTGTTGTTACACAGAATTACACGTGTGCTCGTGTGTGTGTGCAGGTACACCTTCTTCAAGAACAACACGCTGAAAGTGACAGACGTCCAATTAAATGACAGCACGGAGTATTCCTGTGAGGTCATCACTAAAGTGGACAACGTGATTGCACAGGGCTCCATCACTGTCATAGGTGTGTGTGTGTGTGTGTGTGTGTGTGTGTGTGTGTGTGTGTGTGTGTGTGTGTGTGTGTGTGTGTGTCTGGACTGTGGCTCTAATTGTTTTCTGTTGTACTCTCAGCAAAACCGGACCCTCCCAGTGGTCTGACTCTGTCTAATGCTGAGGGGGTCAGTGTGACTCTCAGCTGGAGCCCAGGACTCTCCCACAACAGCCCCATCACAGGTACCACACACGCACACAAACAAAACATGCGAATTTTGGTATCTGTTGTCATGTGCTGATAGTGGAAGCAGCTGAAGAGGACATTTTCATTTCCTGCTGAGACTCTTAAACCTTATGAAATGTTCTGGATTTTTCTGAGATGACTGAAAAAGGAGTACAGCAGGCCACCAACCTCCACCAATCACACTCCATCTTCATCAGTTATGAAAAACATGGGTAACGACAGCGAGACCTGGATGGGCATGATTGGGAGGAAAGGCCTCCCCGATCTGAACCCGAGCGGTGTTTTGTTATTGGACTTCTGTGCAAATCACAGTTTGGCCATAACGAACACCCTGTTTGAACATAAGAGTGTCCATAAGTGCACGTGGCACCAGGACAATCGGTTTTGTAATCGTATCAGCAGACCTGCGACCATATGTTCTGGACACTCAGGTAAAGAAAGGGGCTGCGCTGTCAACTGACCACCACCTGGTGGTGAGATCGATCAGGTGGCGGGGGAGGACGCTGGATAGACTCGGTGCACCTAAATGCGTAGTGAGGGTGTGCTGGGAACACCTAGCAGAGGCCCCAGTCCGTGAGATCTTCAACGCACACCTCCGGCAGAGCTTCAACAGCATTCCAAGGGAGACTGGGGACATTGAGTCCGAATGCACCATGTTCAGCATCTCCATTGCCGAAGCTGCTGCATTGAGCTGCGGCCGCAAGGTGGTTGGTGCCTGTCATGGAGCGCTGCTGACTTTGACTGAGAAAATTGTCAGACGGTGGAAGGAATACTTCCTGGACCTCCTTAATCCCACTGACACGTCTTCCGAGTAGGAAGCAGAGTCTGGGAATGAGGGGGATGACCCGCCAATTTCCAGGGGTGAGGTGACTGAGGCAGTTAAACAACTCCTTGGTGGCTGAGCCCCTGGTGTGGATGAGGTCTGCCCCGAGTTCCTGAAGGCTCTGGACGTTGTAGGGCTGTCCCGGTTGACACGCCTCTACAATGTTGCATGGAGATCAGGGGCAGTACCTGTGGACTGGCAGACCGGGGTGGTGGTCCCCATCTTTAAGAAGGGGGACCGGAGGGTGTGTTTCAACTACAGGGAAATCACACTCCTCAGCCTCCCTGGGAAAGTCTATGCCAGGGTGCTGGAGAGGGGAGTTCGTCCACTAGTCGAACCTCGGATGCAGGAGGAACAATGCGGTTTTTGTCCTGGTCGCGGAACACTGGACCAGCTCTTTATCCTCTAGAGGATACTTGAGGGTGCATGGGAGTTTGCCCAACCAGTCTACATGTGTTTTGTGGGCTTGGAGAAGGCATTCGACCGTGTCCCTCGGGGTGTCCTGTGGGAGCTGCTGCAGGAGTATGGGGGTGTCTGGCCCATTGCTACGGGCCATTCAAACCTGCAACAACTGTTGCAAGAGCTTGGTTCGCATTGCCAGCAATAAGTTGGACTCGTTCCTGGTGGGTGATGGGCTCCACCAGGGCTGCCCTTTGTCACCAATTCTGTTCATAATTTTTATGGACAGGATTTCTAGGCACAGCCAAGTGGCCGAGGGCTTTCACTTCGGTGGCCTCAGAATCTCATCTCTGCTTTTCGCAGATGATGTGGTTCTGTTGGCTTCATTGGGTGAGGGCCTCCAGCTCGCACTGGAACCGGTCCGTCGTGATGAAGAGAGAGCTGAGTGTAAAAGCGAAGCTCTCAATTTACCGGTCGATCTATGCCCCTACCCTCACTTATGGCCACGAGCTGTGGGTAGTGACCGAAAGAACGAGATTGCGGATACAAGCAGCGGAAATAAGCTTCCCATAACGGGTGGCTGGCCTCTCCCTTAGAGATAGGGTGAGAAGTTCAGCCATCCGGGAGGGGCTCAGAGTAGAGCTCCTCCACATCGAAAGGAGCCAGCTGAAGTGGTTTGGGCATCTGACAAGGATGCCCCCTGGGCGAGGTGTTCCGGGCATGTCCTACCGGCAGGAGGCCCCAGGGCAGACCCAGGACACGCTGGAGAGATTATATCTCTCGGCTGGCCTGGGAACTCCTTGGTGTTCCCCCGGATAAGCTGAAGGAGGTGGCTGGGGAGAGGGAGGTCTGGGCTTCTCTGCTTAGGCTGCTGCCCCCGCGACCCAGCCTCGGATAAAGCAGAAGAAGATGGATGGATGGATGAACACCTTAGGCATTCCTGAAACAAACCATGTTGCTCATTCAACTTTATTTAAAACGTATTTATTTGAAAATTACAAAGAGTAAGAACAACATTGAAAAGAATGTCTATTTCAATAGCGGGAGTTAAATTCTGGAATGAGTTAAAAGAAGTAATAAAGGTCAGTAGTGATATAAACCAGTTTAAAATAAAACTCAAACAATAAATTTTAAATAAGTATAAGAATGAAGAAAATGCAATTAACCCAAGACAGCAGTCAAACTCATGTTTATTTTCTTCTGCAAATTAGCAAATCTAAATATAGTTTTAGTTGAACATGTGAAAATACTTTTTGAGATGTTATGTTCTAAGTTGAAGGCGTTGTATACGTTTTTGTTGTTCAAGTTTAGATGATGAGGATGTAAACCTGAGGGGGTAGGGCTAAATAAGTATATACTTCTGCCTACTCCTTTTCAAACAACTGTATGGAATGATTTTATGAAACGTTGGTGAATGTATATGTTTGAAATAAAAAAGAACTGAACTGAACTGAAAAACCGACCTACAGCTGAAAAACAGCTGATGAACCGGATCATGTCTGACTCCTTCCAGAGTTCATCATACAGGCTCGGGAGGAGTACCACACGGAGGAGAGGAAGTGGACATGGGAGGAAATGAAGAAAGTGCCAGGCGACTTCAACCACGTGGAGCTGACCCTCCATCCATTCTCCACCTACCGATTCCGGGTCATCGCCATCAATGAGGTTGGCAGGAGCAGACACAGCAACTCCTCAGACCACTACAGCACGCCACCTGATGGTAAAGAACAATACCTCAACTTGTGCTGTGCAAATGTTGGTATAGATCCAATATCAAATAAATACAGGGCCAGTACTGCCAATACCAGTACTGATACCAAAGCTTAAAGGCAGCTTATGTAGGGAAGAGCAGCATGATTTATGAGATTCTGATTTCAACTGTGATTTTTAATTTCCACAATAATTAGTTGACACAACAAAACACACTCTTCAGCTTTTCGTGTATTTTAAATTGGGAGGTTTTTTTAATTTATGTTTGCTATAGGACATAAATAAAATAGACGTGACCGTGAACATCACAGGTGCATGTTTGAGGTATACACTTTATTTAACACAATTCACTGGGCTACGTGCTGCAACTAAAAGATAGAAATAAAAATCGATCCTATCATGATAGTATCGATCCGATACCAGTACCAGCATTGGTATCGATCCGCCCACCTCTAGCCTTAAGTGATAGGATCCATGTGTCAGAGGCTGGAAAAGACTTCAGTGAATGAAACAACAATATAAGCTAGCAGCAGATGTGATGAGCTTTAGAGTTACAACTGCTACTAGCAGTGATTTTTATAGACTGTGTCCAGGAGCTCAATATGAGGCGTGGCATTACCCACCGGTTTTTGGAACAGCAGTTTATGGTCATCACCGTGTTGTTCTTCTGCAGGAAGTTTGTTTCTGCTGTGAAGTTTTACCATGGAGTCTGACTCACAGCTGAGCCTCAGGCTGACATTAGAGGGACGGAAAATGTATTTACCATTAATTACATTATCAGTCTGAAAGTTTCACAAAGAAATATAAAACATGGTTGATCAATGGTCATGGAGATCAATAAAGAAGATCAATACAGGATGACTGAAGTGTGTTTATTAAACTGAGATATTTTCCTTCACCCTTTTAGTTCCCTCCATCAACCCTACAGGAGTGCGCAGTAACTCCTCAGAACCAGGGACACTGATCATCACGTGGGATGTGAGTACGTCAGCGTGTATGCAGTGGGCTCGAGTAAACATCCTCTGATATGTTTCATGAAAAGCACAGTCCACGGGCACTTCATATTCTTACTTTCTGTTGCAGGAGATAGACAAGCGTTTCCATAACGGCCAGAACTTCCAGTACGAGGTGCTGTGGAGGGAGGCCGATGGGTCAAATGTAAACTGGAACTCCGGCCGTGTGAGGTCTCCACCGTTCATAGTGAACAACACAGGAACGTACACACCGTTTGAGATCAAAGTCCGATCTGTCAACGCTCTCGGAGGAGGACCGGAACCAAAGTCGGAGAGCGGGCACTCCGGAGAGGACAGTACGTCATCCCAGAGCTTCATCCCTGTGGCCGAGTGCTGTAATGGGAGGGCCTGTTATTGTGTGTAACTGGGAACCATTACAGGGCTAAAGCCTGTGTGCACCCACTGAGAGGACTGGAACTAAAGCTCATACATACACATATAGAGACAGTACATGATATCTACAAGTCAGTAATACTGATGACAGTGAGCCAGTTCTGAAAATATCAACTTAAAACAATCTGAGTTAACCATGTTTATCCATACAGCTTATGAATGCCATCAGTCATAAATAATCTCACTGCAACAGCTTCATGAAGCATCACATCACAGCTCTTTCTGTCAAAATGTCAAATCTAACATCTCTTGTTGGAGTGCCCGGCAGCTGTACACATGAATGCTTTGCTGCTGTGCAGGCTGTTAATCACTCAGAGCATATAGTGAAGTTTCCTGTCAGTGCTTAGATCCTGCTGGGAAAATGTCTTTAGGTCAAAAGTCAAGAATCTCAATGAGTGGATGATGAGAATGATGCAGCTGAGGGTTTAATGTCTCACGCTGAATGTTCGGCATGTGAATCAATAATTGCCTCTTTTGTAATGTTGTCATTTTGATGAGAAATACGAGTTTCAGCTCGAACTGACTTATTTCTGTTTAGGAGGTTGCACATGCGTTCTTTCACAGGCTTAGAGAACTGTTCAGTTAGAGGGTAGTTAGGAGGTAAAAAGGTGATGACTGCCAAGGTCATTCCTCACAGCAGTCATCACGGTTTCCTTCAGTTACCTCGAGCTCTGAGGTCTTCACTGGTCTTTGGAAAGCTCAGTGTTTTATCAGCAGCAGCAGCAGCAGCAGCAACGCGTGACATGACACCGTCCAAAGGTTCTTACCAACGGGCTAAGCTTCTTCAGTTCTAGGGTCAAATGGTGGAGAGTCCCAGATTTAGGCCATATGGGAGTGTCCCCCCCACAGAGGGACAAAAGGACCCCCTGATGATCCTCTAATCACATGAGCCAAGGTGTGAAACTGGGTGTGGGTCACAATCAGCCAGAGTTTCAGGTGAGCTCATTGTGAAACCTGACCCCACCTTATTATGTCATTTCCTGAGGTCAGATGGCCCAGGGTGTGAGTGGGCGTTAAGGCATCTGGGAAGGATCTCAAAACTGGATTATAGATGGCAGACAATTGGTGTCACAAGCTCCGCCTCTGTTCAAAGATGGTCGCTCACAGTGGACATAGATGCTTCTTTCACTCCTCTTTCAAACCATCTGTCCTCTCTGTCCAAAATGTGAACATTGGCATCCTCGAAAGAGTGACCTTTATCCTTAAGATGCAGATGGACTGCTGAGTCTTGTCCTGTGGAGGTGGCTCTTCTGTGTTGTGCCATGTGCTTGTGAAGTGGCTGTTTGGTCTCTCCAATGTAGAGGTCTGGGCATTCCTCGCTGCACTGTACAGCATACACCACATTGTTAAGTTTGTGTTTAGGAGTTTTGTCGTTCGGGTGAACCAGTTTGTGTCCAAGTGTGCTGCTGGGTCTGAAGTAAACTAGGATGTTGTGCTTGGAGAAAACTCTCCTGAGTTTCTCTGATACACCGGCTACAGAGGGGATGACAATGTTTTAAGTGTTTCCTTTGCATGTGTGTGTTGCTTCTTTTTTCCTTCAGGCTTAGAGGGAACATGTTCTGCCCGGTGGTGTAGGGTCCTAATTACTCCAAGTCTGTGTTCCAGAGGGTGATGGGAGTCAAAGAGGAGGTACTGGTCCGTGTGCGTGGGCTTCCGGTAAACTTCGATGTTGAGGTTTCTTCTCAATGCGCACAGCACAGTTCAGGAATGACAAACAGTTATCCTTTGTGTCTTCCCTAGTTTGACACAAAGGATAACTGTTTGCCATTCTTTAGGAGTTTTCTCCAAGCACAACATCCCAGTTTACTTCAGACCCAGCAACACGCTCAGACAGAAACTGGTTCATCCCAAAGACAAAACTCCTAAACACAAACTTAACAATGTGGTGTTTGCTGTACAGTGCAGCGAGGAATGCTCAGACCTCTACATTGGAGAGACCAAACAGCCACTTCACAAGCGCATGGCACAACACAGAAGAGCCACCTCCACAGGACAAGACTCAGCTGTCCATCGGCATCTAAAGGTCAAAGGTCACTCCTTCACACATCTGTCTTCTCTTGGCTCGTGTGCTTAGGTAGAGGGTCAATAGTGGGTCCATTGTCCCTCTCGGTGGGTTACTCCCAAAGAGCTTAAATCTGGGACTCTCCACCATTTGACCCTAAAACTGAAGAAGCTTCTCGAATGAGGTCAAGCAACTTAAAGAAGTCCAGACGCTTTTCTTTCCAAGCTCCTTAGACTACGATGACCTGGATCAATGAGGACCTTCACAGACACATGCTGTTAAACTATTCATCATTTCAGGTTCACGTGCTTATATTATGACATCACCGTATTGCTTAGAAATATCCTGACAATCACAGACAAGTCATTACTGCAGCAATGGGTATTTACTAGTGTAATGAATTCAGCAGAAATTCAGAAGTTTGTCTCTGACAGAAAACCGTGCACACACACATACACATGTTGCGTATTCATATCTTGTGTGTAACTGACATAATGCTTTCCCTAGCCCCTTACCCTAAACCTAACCATAACCCAGTTGTAACCCTGACACTAGAACCACCTTTTTTAGTTTTAAAAATGCCTTCAGACTTGTGAGGACCAGAATTCTGGTCCCCATGAAGGCTGTTGGTCCCCACAACTATAGTAAAAGTCCAACTTTTGTCCCCACAAAGATATCAATACACATTCACACACACAGTCATAAACTACGAGTTTGTGCAAATAACATCGCTGCTGTGCTGATTTCTTATGTTCATGCCTTGCTGCTTCTCTCAGAGCCAGAGGAAGCGCCGACTGGAGTTTCAACCACCGTGATGAACAGCACCATCAGAGTGAGCTGGAACAAAGCCAAGAGGGTCCGAGGTTGGCTGCTGGGATACAGGGTAGCACTTCTCATTGAGTTTAATTACCTGACTCACATCACAGAAATGCTCTTAACATTTAAATCCTCTGTTCATGTAAGGTTATTACTTGGTGCGATGTTTCAAAAATTTAATTGGACTTTGGCTTTGAGCCTCTGCCCATCTTTAATACTGAGAAACTTTATAATCTTTCTGTCAATCAAACCCCAGAAAATAGTCCCGAGTGGCATCTTTGATTAGTAGAATAATGGATGAAAACACAGGCTGATAAAAGTTTTTATCGTGTTCTGAATTTTTTAATTTCATTTTCAGCTGTAACTTTATCAAAGCACATAAAGTGTGTTCATGTTTCTCTATGCTTGTTTCAGATCTACTATAAGAGGCTGGCTCCCAAGGCCGAACGGAGCCGGAGGTCTCTCAGACAATCCCAACATGAGGAGGACAGAGGAGAAAGATCTAAACAATTGAGTGAGACAGACGAGCACAGCTGGCAGGTGGAGGAGGTTGACCATAGCAAGACCTCAGCGGAGGTGACGGGACTGCGACTGTTTTCTGAGTATGAGCTGACGGTCACTGCGTTTAACAGCAAAGGGGAGAGTCCTCGCTCCCCGCCGCACCACTTCCACACGCCGGAGGGAGGTGAGTTTCAACCAAACACTGCTGTTTGAGGGTCATGTGACCATGGATCGAAGTGCGATTTGACAGGTTCCACAAGTCAAAGGTCAGCTGATCTGAGCAGCATTGTGTAGTAAGTTAGCTGTCTGCTTTAATTACCAATTATTTGAAGGTATCAGAATGCTGCTCTTGTTCCAGCCCATTGCAACCTCTGCACCTGACCCAAAAGCTTACGACACGACATTCATATCCGAGCGGACTTTGACATTCAGACAGAATAAAGTCAACCGAACTTTCTTCCCTCGTGTCTAAGAGTTCAGGATCAGTTCTCAAGTTACACAAACCTCACCTGGAACTGTTCTGTGTGTGCAGTTCCTGGTCCTCCTGCAACTCTGGAGTTTGAAAGCCCGACAGAAAAATCCCTGATTCTCTCCTGGAGCCCTCCAGCTGAGACCAACGGCATTCTGCTGGGATACATAGTGCAGTACCAACGGGGTAAGGTCTGATCCTGGCTGCGTCATGAAAATAAGATGAAGTTTAACGATTGTGACTTTTCTTTTTGTGTTCATCCTTGAATTCTGTTGTAACTTTACTTTCTGGTGTTTCCTTCAGATTTCAATGTTTTTCTTTGTCCCTGTTTAAGTTTTATTTATTTCACTTTCTGGGAACAGCGTTTGGCCACCAAGCGTTCTTAGTCATGTTTTTCTGCCTGGTTTGTGTTTCATCTGTAGAGGTGGAAAGCAAAGACAGTCCTGTGGAGATACTGAATGTCAATGATCCCACAGTAAAGCACATCACGCTGGACAACCTGGACCCCGACAGCCATTACATCTTCAAAGTAACAGCATGCACAAAGATTGGACAAGGCCCTCCCATCACACGCAGGGGAGCCACCCTGCTTGATGGAGGTGAAACTTCAGAATTCTGCCTCACACCGTTTAGTGTTCGGCTTTATTTAGTGAAATAAAACCAAATTCTCAAATTGACCTTGTTTTCTCCACCCCCCTGCCTTCTAGAGCCTCCGAGAAACATCACAGTAACCTCTGGTAACGCATCAGTCCACCTGAGCTGGGTGCCCGGAGAGAGAAACCGAAACCACGGCTTCCACATCCAATACCTCAAGAAGAGCGGTAAGGACAGGACGGCTTGCAGGGAGAGGAAGTTTGAGGGGGTCTGTGAGCATGTGTGGACAATGACTCTTAGAAAGGGGAATAAAGGAGCTGGAGAGTAAGGAAGGAAAACATGTCTGAGTCCTTCTCAAAGTCTTGATAACAGTTCCCGGCGGTGATTCGACCAATTATTTTGAAGATCCTGACTCTAAATGATCGAACAGAGGTTTAAACTTCAGTGTTGAAGAACAGCATGCGGAGGCTCAACAGTCAAATCTGAAAAAACTCTCAAATGTCCAAAAAATAAACCTTTAAGACTCTCTTGAAGTTATACTTTGGTCTGAGAACATGACAGCCTGACTAATGGTTCAATCCAAAGTGAGACGAGCCTGAAGAACCTGCAGTGAACCAAGAACAAGTAAACAGCTCCCAACTTGTTATGATGATAACAAGTAGATTAAACTGTCACGACTCTCTGATGTTTCATGCGTATCCAGTGATTTGAATATGAATTTTCACACTGTTTTGCTTCTGCAGCGTCTCTGGATCAACATCACAGCAGAATTATTAGAAAGAGCAGAAGAATCAGAGACAGTTCATTAAATGAGAGGAGGAACAGCTTTAGGATTGATTCCTACTATGTTCTTCATATGTTTCATTCTTCTCTGCCGTGTGGCTGCAGGAGGCGGTGGGTGGGAGAAGTCAGAACAGGTCAACACTACGCAGGGTTTCTATATGCTGACGGGCCTCCAACCAGGAGCTCAGTACCACCTGAGGGTCATGCATGGAAACTCCACTTATTGGCAAGGCGAGGCAAAGACCGTGGAACCATGTAAGTATGCAGAGTAGTAGAGGTTGATGCCACAATCTTCACAGATTCACAAATCTAGCACTGTCAACGTCCTGATGCGTGCTCAATCATCCAGGTAAGTAAATCCCAAAAAGTTAATTCTGTTCATCTGGACGTAACGTTTTCAGTGGGAGAAACACTTCATCACTGATTTAAGCGACTTCTTCAGTCTCAGCTGACTGCAGGTTTCCCCAACCTTATAAACAGGACATTTGTATAATGACTGAAACCAGCCCACTGAAGGAACAATGGGCTGGGAGGTCAGTTCCTTGATCATTAGTATGCAAATTCTCTGAACAAAGCTTGACCTGGAGCTTTGATCTGGTTGGAGGATTGCCAGGATTTATACATTGGAGAAAGTAAACAACCTCTGGCGAAGCGGGTGTCACATCACAGAAGAGCCACCTCGTCAGGCCAGGACTCTGCAGTCTATTCACACCTACAGGCCAGTGGACACTCTTTCAATGATGAGGATGTAACATCCTGGACAGGGAGGAACGCTGGTTTAAGGGCGGAGTCAAGGAGGCCATTTATGTGAAAAGGGAAAGACCATCTCTGAATCGAGGAGGGGGCCTAAGGGTACATCTGTTACAATCTTACAATGCTGTGATTGCAGCCATTCCCCAACTCTCTGTGAATGGGACTCATGGCCATTGATCAATGAGCTTTGATCAGTGGTTGTTGATCAATGGTCAAGAGAATTTGCATATTAATGATCAAGGAACTGACCTCCCAGCCCATTGTTCCTCAGTGGGCTGGTTTCAGTCATTATGCAAATGTTCTGTTTATAAGATTGAAACCTTCAGTCAGCTGAGACTGAAGAAATCACCTGGATGATGACGAAGCGTTTCTCCCACTGAAAACGTTACGTCCAATGAACAGAATCAACTTTTGGGACTAGCACTGTGGAGTTTTCAGGCGGGCTAATCTCGCTACCTGTGTGAAAATCATAATTCCAAACGCGTCTGGACTTCTTTAAGTTGCTTGAAGATGTTTCACCTCTCATCCGAGAAGCTTCTTCAGTTCTAGCGTCAAATGGTGGAGACACCAACTGTCTGCCATCTTTAATCCAGTTCTGAGATCCTTCCCAGACGCTTCCTGGGCCATCTGACCTCAGGAAATCACATGTTAGGATGGGGCTAAGTTTCACAATGAGCTCACTCGAAACCTTGGCTGATTGGGACCTACACCTTCACACCTTGGCTCATGTAATTAGGTAGAGGATCATTAGGGGTCCTCTCGGTGGGTTACTCCCAAAGAGCTTAAATCTGGGATTCTCCACCATTTGATCCTAGAAGCTAGAAGCTTCACAGATGAGAGGTGAAACGTCTTCAAGCAACTCAAAGAAGTCCAGACGCTTTTCTTTCCAAGCTCCTTAGACTACGATGACCTGGATGACTGAGAACCTTCACAGACATCATTCCAAACATTTCTGTGACAGTCTGTCTCTGTTCTCTCAGTGCCGTCAGAGATAACCGGCAGGTTCGCCACCCAAGGCTGGCTGATTGGACTCATCAGCGCCATCGTGCTGCTGGTTCTCATACTGCTCATCCTCTGCCTTATCAAACGCAGCAAGGGCGGCAAATATGCAGGTACACTGTGGTGCGCAGCTGGACTCACACTCTCTGACTCACACAGACTCTAACGCAGAGTTAAAGGTTTCTTTTTTTCACAGTGAAGGACAAAGAAAGTAAGGAGGTGGACTCTGAAGCTCGACCAATGAAAGATGAAGCCTTTGGAGAATACAGGTGGGCCTTTTTGAATGTCACTCATGATTACAGGCTATGCTTGAAATGCATTTGCTTCCACACAGAACAAAGTGCTACGGTGGCCCTGCAGGTACAAAATACAGCAAGAGCACAAAACACAGAGCAACCCTGCGATTTGAGTCAGTGTGTTGTTGTTTAGTTTTTGCACAAAAATCCTTCATGTCGACACAACAATGAGATCAGTTATATACAGTATGTTTTTATATAAACAGTGATAATATCCCTGCAGTAAATCATATTATGAAACTTTGTTTTGTTTCTGAAACATCGAGTTTGACGGCTTCATCTGAGCGTGCAGCTCGTCATGCTCGCAGCTCTGCTTCCTTTCATTCACTTTTCTTTCTCCCTTCAATGCTCTGCCTGCAGATCCCTGGAGAGGTAGGACAGTTCACCCCTCTGTAGCACTCACATGTGTGTTTGCGTGTTTGTGTCGAGAAGCTGTTTAGATTTAATGAAACTTTTCATTCTGTGTGCATTTCTTTGAGTTTTTGTGTAATTAGGCATCATTTGCATAATCAGCCTGCAGTCCTTGAACACCAGGAAGAATTTTATTAACATTTTATTCATGTGTTATTTTATACTATGTTATTTCATATTTGTCTTTTCAGCATTTTTAAAATTGTTTATTTTATATCATTACGTTTTTTTTATTTAAATACTTTAAATTTATTTAAATACTTATAATAACTTGATCCTCCTTAACATGATGAACTGTTAAAGAGGATGTACTTACCCATGCAGTTTCTTTCTTTCCATTTTCAGTTTGGGACATATTTCACAAATTTGACACAGTTATGATGTCACCGTGTCTGTGTGATGCTACACAGCATGTTCCTGCATTTATCAGACTTCACTTTTTGTCTGTGAGAATTTACACTGAGTCTCTGTGCCGTCCTCCAGCGATGGCGATGAGAAGCGCTCGGACAGCCAGCAGTCTCTGGAGGAAAGTAAGATGGGCAGCGTCGACTCTCTGGCTGAATACGGGGACAGCGTGGACATCCAGTTCAACGAGGACGGCTCCTTCATCGGCCAGTACAGCGGCCGGGCATCTGTTCCCCACGGCAACGAGAGCTCGGGCCCCGCCTCCCCCGTTAATGCAGTCCCACCTCCCCCCGTCGCTCCCTCCATGTCGAGCATCCTAAATCGGCCCAGCTAGAGACACACATGGCCAAAACACACACACACACACACACACACACACACACACACACACACACACACACACACACACACACACACACACACACACAATGTCAGTACATTCCATTGGTTTATGCAGTGAAGCTGTTTACAGTTTACAAACACACACAAAAACACACACACATACAACCGCGTGATTAGAAACTCGTATGAGCGAACAAACTGAGTGAGGTGAGGGCGAGAGCTGCACCAGCTGCTCCTGAGCTCGGTGAGTCAGGTTACATGAGCTCAGTCTGTTTGCAGGATTGTTACTGAACATGTAAAACTTCTGATTTTGTAACAACTGAGATGGTGTTCGGGACGCGTAGCCCGCCGAAGACACGCAGCGAATGTTATTCTGGTCTGCAGCATCTGATTCAGCTTCACATGTCAGTAACTACTCACATAGATTAACACCCAAATGAGTACATGGAGACAGTTTAAGAGCTATGAAACTTCAATTGAATTCATAATAAAGGGATACAAAACAGACTAGTTCTTATGTAGGATTATTAATGAATATTTAAAATTCTGGACTAACTTTTTGTAGTCAGTGACCACAAAGCAAACAGTTTGCTAGTCTGGAAGAACCAAGTGACAGCTGATTGGCTAACGGTGAATATCAGCTTAAACATAAAAATAAAATAATAAAGCTTATTAATACTAATTCTGATAAAGGATCCATTCTCTGTGCATTTTAGCTAATACAGTTTGAGCTTCTGATGTCCTCTCCGTACCCTTCATGACGAGTTCTGACACCTCAGCATATCTCAAACTAGAAAGTCACCTGAGCGGCTGCAGGTGGAGCTCCCTCTGAGGTTCTTTGGCTCTAACTGACATACATCTCTGGATTTATCTGGACTTCACCAGGTTTGTAGTGACCATGTTGTGGTTTGTTTACACGATGGAAAGCTTTGTAATTGGGCAGAAACAATTTACTGTTTACTAAAATCTTTCCTGATTTGATGAATGTAATTGCGAATTAAGCCGGGACTCGCTGAGATGGCCTTAAAGTGAAACCAGTCTCAGTCTCATAAGGAAATGAGTTTCATGGCTCAGAGTGTTGCGTCTGATTCTTGGTTGCTCCATCTGTCCACCAGGACAAAGCTGCTCTTTGACTTTTTACCTTAGAGTGGTGTTTGCACATGACGCAGTAAAGTTAGACTTTAAATAGAAACTTAGAGAAGCTGGTGCAGCTCAGCCCAGGAGACGGAGATGATTTATGGGAGAGCGTCACAAAGAAAAAGCAAAAATCTGGGAGTTTTTCATCTTTCATCTTGGACCAAATCACTTTATTTCATCGTAAACAAACATTTCAGTCTCTTTTTGTTTCCTTAGCATATTTATATGTCGATTTTTTATATTTATGTGTTTTTGTTACCAACTTATGTATCTGAGTTTGCATGCATGCATCATGGAACGGTTTTTACTATTTATAGATGCATGCCAGCTTCCAGGCATTTCTAAAGCATTTCATTGATATTTGAGTTAAAGAGCGAGACTGTTACGCTCTGTGTGTGTGTGTGTGTGTGTGTGTGTGTGTGTGTGCGTGCGTGCGTGCGTGCGTGCGTGCGTGCGTGCGTGCGTGCGTGTGTGTGTGCATGTGTGTGTGTGCTTGCTCTCCATCCCTGCCCTTTGACCTGCAGAGAGGGGAGCTCTGTTGCCTTAGGAGAGTCCAGATGAACCTCCTCTCCTCCCTCTTCCTGTCAGTCATCTCTCCTCAGACGCAGCTTCATGTGTAAAAGTTTTCAGCGTTGCAGTTTCTGCAAACGTCCATTAAACCCTGTAAACGGCCAGCAGACGGCACAGTTCACTGCTTCAGATGTTTCAGGGCTGCCTTTGAATATGATTGGAAAAATTCCTATGCATACACACACACACACACACACACACATACTGATGAACACATGAAGTGGAGGCCCACATGGCGGGTCCTCTGTAGCAAAACGGACCCTCTGACGGAGCGAGGGAGGAGGCGGAGGAGAAAGAGGATCAGATGTAATCGCTCCCTGAATGTAAATAGAACCTTGAGATTGTCAGTTTTTTTATTTCCATTGCTTCTTCTCTAAAATCACTGAATTGCAGTTTGTCTTTTTATCTTTTGCTCTGTTTGATTTTGTACTTGTATTTTGTATCAACACCCTCCCCTCCATCGTCTAATCTTAGGTTTTCCTTTCGTGTCGCTCAGTAGCCTCGAGACATTTAGAGAAGATTAGAACCGTAGAGAGAAAAACACTCCCCTTCATTCATTCAGTTTCTTTATAGCGCGTAGCAATGCAGCAAATAATACTGATTATTAAAAAGCTATGTCATAAATGTTTCTACAGCTCGCTGAGCTGTTTAATGGCAGCGGGTGAGATGATGTTCTCTGGATGGACCCGCACCGGAAACAGTTTTATAGCTCAGAGGGTTTATTTCGTTGCCTTGGACACGCTGCACTGATGCCGATGCGGATCAAAAAAAATCAATCCGATGAAAATATGTGTCGCAGGATTACACACAGGGAGCCCCGTGTTCCCACCCACAGCTGACGCTTATTCTTACAGTCTGTCGAGCAGAGAGACAAACCCGACGAAGCGATTCACGCAAACCAAGCAGAAAAGACCAAAACCAACAACCACTTACTGTAGACATAAAACTTTAAACGACCTTCCAAGATGATAGTTTCCCATAAAAACAAAGTTCATTATTATCCAGCAAATAAATTCTCATTATAGTTGAATTCGTATTTTGCGCTGTAGTGAGTGTTTGTGACTGCAGGAGGGTGAATGGGTTTTCCCTCCATCTGTGGCTCTGAGGTATAAACTGGTCCCACACCATCAAACACGATATTATTCCTACTTTTATTTTCACTTGCTCATTAGGCCACAAATGAATTCAAACAGGCAGGAGTAGTGCATTTGTTGGGAAGCAGGGAATTACATCACTGGTTCTCTACTGTGTGTCTGTGTGACCATAACCTACATCTAAAGGATGGATGTAGTTTTTGGGCCTCAAAAAGGTGAAGTCAACCTAGAAGTGCCTCAAACCTGCATTCTTTCCAAAGCCCAGCAGGGGGCGACTCCTCTGGCTGTATAGAAGTCTGTGACTCAGTGACAGGCCTGTCCTACATTTTAGGACAGGGCGTCTTGTCCCCTCAATGCTCACTTCAGGGGTCAAAAAACCAATCCTACTACAGAAAACTAGATTTTTGACAGTTTCCAGACAAAAAGTGAGCCCACATCCAGCACTGGTTTTGGTCTTTTCAGTGGATTTTCCTGCAAAAGAAAAACTACAAGCGAGCTAGAGAAAACTAGAGTGAACTCATGGACAGGGAACTGCGTATCTCGAGCTGAATAATCACTGCTGATTGTGAAATAACAGCAGCGAGCAAACGCTCGTCTTCCTTCATGTACAATAATCCAAAGTCCGACCTCATCTTGTTGCCTTGATGGACGTCTCCCCGCCCTCGACCCCACTCCCGTCCGTCTGTCTCTCTGCTCTGACTCTGCTGTACAGCCCTGTCTGCCTGTTTTTGTCACAGCCTTTTTTATACGTACATGGGGAAAAAACAACAATATTAAAAAACACTTAAAAACGACAAAAATGTAGTTATGCATAATAATTCTGCTTACAATAACAACAGTGCTGTAATCTAATCAGCCACGATGATGACGTCAGTGTCATCCTCATGTGGTCAGTAACACAATGAACCAGTATCACAGGATCAAGCAGGGAGGTGAAAGTGGGAGGATGGGAGAAGAGGAGTCACACATATGTATACAGGGGCGGTGCGTGGGGTGGGAGGGGGTTACTGCAATACTGAGGTGTGCTGATGTTGTAACTGCTTGTTGCGTTGTGCGCTGAGCTGTATCTGATGAACTAACCCAGCTGTCAACTAATAAACACGGACTACGCATATCCTTAACTAGTGGCTCATTTGTGTGTGTGTGTGCGCGTGTGTGCGTGTGTGTGTGTGTGTGCGTGTGTGTGTGTGTGTTTGTGCGTGTGTGTGTATGTTTATGTGTGTGTGCGTGTGTGTGTATGTGTGTGTGTGTGTGCGTGTGTGTGTGTGTGCGTGTGTGTGCGTGTGTGTGTGTGTGTGTGTGTGTGCGTGTGTGTGTGTGCGTGTGTGTGTGTGTGTGCGTGTGTGCGTGTGTGTGTGTGTGTGTGCGTGTGTGTGTGTGTGTGCGTGTGTGTGTGTGTGTGTGTGTGTGTGTGTGCATTTTGAAAATGTACACTTCTGGAGCTGTTAAAGAGTTCAGTTCAAGTCTGACCAAAGTTATAAACCTCTTTACATCCTTGACTGTCCCGGGATGTTTGTGTATTTGAATGCACAAATCTTAGGGAACATATTTGAGTCTGGCTTTCATCCAACCATACATCTTGATGTATGCTCAATCATCATTCAGTCATTATGCAAATGTACTGTTTATAAGATTGGGGAAACCTGCAGTCAGCTGAGACTGAAGAAGTCACTTGGATGAGTGACGAAATGTTTCTCCTGCTGAAAAGCTACGTCCAGATGAACAGAATCAACTTTTGGGGGCATCATCCATCCATCTTCTGTTGCTTATCCAGCAGGTCTTGCAGGGTCAGGATTCTAATCAGGGACACAGCTCCTCCGGGGGGACACTGAGGCATTCCCAAGCCAGCTGAGAGGCATCATCTCTCCAGCCTGTCCATTCTGTTTTTGGCCTCCTCCCAGTTGAACATGCCCAAAGGCAAACTACCTCAATCAGCTCCTTTGTGAAAGATTTAGGTGTACTTTGAATTCCTGCTGAATGATCAAGCTGCTCATTTTGGTACCTCGTATCCAGAGCTCCTTCGGTCACAACCCTGAGCTCACGGCCACAGTTTAGGCTGACTTCATGCTAGCACTCTGCCCTTTTCTGGCTGAGAACCGTGGTCTCAGGCTTGAAGATGCTAATGCCCTCTGAGCTCCAAACTGTTCCACTGTACGCTGAAGGTCATCGTTTGATGAAGCCAAGAGAAAAACCAGGTCACCCACAAAAGGAGATCCTAAGAACATCCATCTCAGCTGAGTTGCTGTTTTGAGTCTTTTGGTTCAGCTTCCATTATTATTCTGGTATTTTGTGAGTTTTATTTCTGGTGAATGGACTGCTTCTTATATAGTGCTTTTCTACTCTGAGCACTTTACACAACGTGTTCATTCACTTTTTCTATTCTTCTAACAATCACACACATTCACACTCCGATGGACGCATCGGAGAGCAACATGGGGTTAGCATCTTGCCCAAGGATATTTGGCATGTAGACTGGAACAGACTGGGATCGAACCAACAACCATCCAGTTAGTATGTGACCTGCTAACTGGATAGTTGCTGCTCTCCACCAAACGTACGCTGGCCAGTTTTCACACATGCACTGCAGCCATGAGTTTTTCTCAGCTGGCAGACGAACTGCACCAGCCTCACTTTAACTCATGGCTCATTCTGTAGGAAGCATCTTTTAGTTACGTACTTTACTCATCAGTAAGAATCGTGGATGATGTTAGCCGTCTTATTGCATGCTACTCAACAGCAGATGGATTTGTGCGTGTCAGTGTTTCAACATTTCGCTCGATTGATCTATTAAAGCTTGGATTTGTAGCAACAAGTTGACCATTCACATCCTGTCTTCCAAACCAAGCACATTTCTTTAAAAGGAAAATACGTCTTCTGATGCTTGAAGTAATGATATTTTTATTGGATACTTAATCAACCTTCCATCTGTAAGAGGAAAAAAATAAAAGGATTAATAGCCACACCCTCATGCTCACGGTCAGTATGAATGTTCAAACAGCTGATAAGGGGCTTTCAGTGTGGTGAAATGCAGGAAGTGCAGAGCAGGAAGTGATTTCATTTAAACACACAGCACCGCCTGTGTGACATCACAGCAGTATTTAGACAGTTAATGTCCTCCTAAGAATTTCTTTCTCAGTGTTCATCATTCAATTCAATTTAAATATCGACGCTACGCCTCTGTAAAATAGTGTGTTTCAGTGAAGCTGTAAACTTATGCCACATTCCAGACACCTCTGAACTCGGATGTCAGAACTTGTCACTCCTCAGTTAACACATTCCAGAAAAAGTGTGGAACAACAGGATCTGCTTTGGTTCTTTGGAAGGTAGAGAATACAAGACATCATCAACCACAGAGGCTGTGAAAACAGAAAACCTGAGTGAGCAGCCGGCAGAGGAAGTAAACAGCTTCTTCACCCGCTTTGAAACACCACAACAGCAGTGCTCATCTGCCTCAGCCCTGCTCCCATCCTCATCCTCACCTTCCTGCACCGCTCCATCACTGTAACGGAGCACGAGGTCAGACGTGTGCTCCTAGCAGTGAACCCCAGGAAGGTGGCTGGTCCAGACGGAGTACCTGGCAAGGTACTAAGAGCGTGTGGCCACCAGCTCACCCTCATCTTCACCAGACTCTTCAACCTCTCACTGGATGACGCAGCCATCCCATCCTGTCTAAAATCAGCCACAATCATCCCAGTACCGAAGACGTCTCCCATCACCAGCCTGAACGATTACCGCCCTGTGGCCCTCACACCGGTAATCATGAAATGCTTCGAGAGACTAGTCCTTCAGCACATCAAGGATTACCTCCGCCCAGAATTCAACCCGCACCAGTTTGCATACCGTGCAAACAGATTCACAGAAGACACCATCGCCCTGCATCACGGCAGCTGCACTAAGGCTGACAGAGCGAGGATTCAGAGTGTAGTCAAGACACAAAAAATCATCGCTCAAAGCTGCGAGTCAACAGAAGCTGAACAGCTGCAGACTAGTTAAGTAGGACTATCAGACCAATGAATTCCAAAAGAGTGCATCACAATTTCCTGCTCAGCTGGATGTGAATCTGTAAGGAAAACTGGAACGACGCTGTTAAATACAGACACGGTGGAGAAAACGTGACGTATCTAATCTATAAATGCCCATTAGTGCCGCCTTGGCCTGGGTTACCTTCCCTCCACTCATTCATACATGTGCCTACAGTGTGCATTACTTCACACAGAAACATCCCAGCTAAAAAATAAGAACACCTGCTGGCAGGTAACGACCAGCCGCCCTGCTGCCAGCCCTTATTCAATTAGAAAGGCCACATTGCCTGTCACAGCACCTCCCTGTGGTTACATATAGAACTGCGCAGGCTGTCGCAGCTTTTAGCAAACATGCTGCATCTTTGTGACAATTTATTTCCTCTGTATTTACATTTTCTCATATCCCACTTTTTGTCCTGATAATACAGACTACTGTCTACACAGCCCTCCACCAAATCTCAGCATAAGGCCGTTCTTTCTGATTCTGGAAGAACTGTTAAAGCACATATTATCATGTACAGTTAGGAAGAGCAGATCCCAGCAAACTAACTACGGAGCAAGGAAGAGTACGTCTGCGTTGGACACATTAATAATGCTGACACGAATCTACAAACTCTGCAGGACAGATATTCAGTATTTTATCTGAGGACTGTTTTCTAATGCTGGAAGCAAAAGTGTTTAGGATGTCACGTTTCCTGTATGTCCTGTATGTCCTGTATCCGCTCTGTAATCGTATTTGTGCAGATTTATTAATCATGTTCAGGTCCACACGATTTCTGTGAGACTCTGCTAAAGACAATCAAATGTGGGGCACAGTGTCTGAGGGTGGATCACACTGTATGTCCACCTCAGACACGTCACCATGGGAAAGGGTCTGACTTTTAACTCTCTGTGACGTAAAAGCCTGCGACGAGCCGTCTGCGTAGATTTTGCGTGTTTAACGTCAGCGGTGAGTTCTGCCTGACTCTGGCTCAGCTGTCCTGGAAAGTGAAAGCAGTGCAGAGGGCCTCAGGGGCCATCGGGGGTCGGAGGGTGTGGGGGTTGGGTGCATTCCCGCCGACAAACAAACCAGCTCCTTAACGGCCAAAAAGCACGTGACCAAGCGTCCTCCACACGAAACAGTCCCGTGACCTTTCGGGTAACAGTGTCGGGGGGCCCCTTTAAGACTCTGTGACAGGATGACGGCAACGAGGTGAGAGCAGAGCGCGCGCAGCATCACGACAATCCCCACAGGAAGGACAAAGAGGAGGAGGAGGCGTGGCACACGATGGGCGCGTCATTAACGCACGGGCTCGTGCTGATGTTTACGATGACAGAGGCGTGAGACGTTAAACCTGCAGGACTAGTTAGTCTGTGACAACGAGGACCGGCCTCTCCGCTCCGCCCAGCACCGTCTGGCTGGCTCCACGCTGCCTGAGCGGGCAGAGACACGCACCGTGGCTGCATGCAGCAGGCACGGAGTCATAACACACAAACAGATATTGCGACGCGGTGAGCCACGAGCAGATCTGCGGGATGATGAACGGAGAGCGGATCGCAGCAGCCGGAGGAGACACCCCGGGGGCCGCGGGGAGGACGCTCCGGTTCCAACGGCCGCACGGTGAGTGACGGGCACGCGTGCACGCGCACTGCGCATGACCGGGATGTAAGAATAGCTCCCTGGTTATGTAATAAAACACACACTTCCTCTTATTTCATTCATTCCCGCAACACACTGTGTGCGCGTCACCGTGACGCAAACTGTGGATAATGTCATTGATTAGCGGGCAGAGGGCGTGATCATCATCATCATCATCAGGAATCCAATCAGCGTGCGCGCGCACACACACATTATATAAGGACTGCGATATATCGGGCCTGCTGTGAGCGCGCATATATGTCACAGCGCGCGGTCTTTGAGCTGCTGTCAGGCATGTGCTGGGTGGTGCTGCTGGTTTGATAAGACACGGCCCGCGTGGGGAATGGAGTCCAGGGAGCAAAGCGCGCACCCCATGCGACGGCGGCGCGTGCGGTGTGAGAGCACAGGTGAGGTTTGTTTCCCTCATTCAGAGAAACGCACCGCTGACCTCCCCCAGGTCGCACACGTGACTCATTTTTGG